TTGAACAATTTTACATGGATCGAAATTATTGCAATTTTTCGATCGTTTGTTTTCGATTCCAATAAAAATTAATTCCAATAAGCTCTAATTGATATCTAGAAAGCTAATTATTGACTTCACATTTATTTATTCGGCAGGTAATTCGACCACAGGTGGCCAAATGTAACTGAATCAGTCGGGGACATCAAAATAGAAAAGAGTGTACAATACTAAAAATACATTTGTCCATTTTAATTTTAATTTAACTTTCCCCTTTCGCCCCAACTGCAAACCAATATCATATAAAAAGTCTGTGTCACAACTGAATGCTGCAATTAAAGGTGTTAAAAAAATAATTCCATTGAAAGGTATACAAACAAAATAAATCAAAGAATTTTCCTATTTATCCATTCAACAACACTGAACAAAGAGAACAACAACAACAACAAAAACTGAAATAAATAATGAGCTTAATTTGACGCTGTGGTTTTTATCATTGATCGTGCTGTGCCAACGGCAGTCGTTCGTATTTCACTGCGGTTTTCCGTCCAAACTGAATAATTACTGTTTTATGTACATATAAACCAAAGAGTTGAATGCATTTTTGTTTCAATTGTACGTTTTCATTTGATTTAGTTGAATGAAAGAAATGTGTGGATTATGCGTGCATGATAAATGAATTTTTCCATTGAGTTTTTGACTGAGGTTTTTATTCAAACCAATCTGTCAATTAAATGAACCGAAAGCGCATTGATTCTATCTATATACACATAGATACATAGTAAAACATTGCATAGAAATACATACATAAACAATGGCATTATAATTTTATAGTCTGCCGTGAACGCGAGACGATAGTCTACGTAATTCGAGAAAAAAATTTCATTGAATTTTTCATGTCACAACAATTCCCATCTGGATCTAAAATCAGGTGTAAAGTTTGAAGAAAAAAAAAAGCGAAATGTCTGCCTGGCCCAGAGGTTGTGTATAGTTTAATACACAATTTTTTTTTCTCAAACGAATACAAGAGGAAAAAAAAGGTAAATGGAAAATTCTCGCTATTTCAGAACTTTGCTTTGCTGGTACGACGATCAACTGCTGCATCACTGACCGCCAACACAAGATATCCAGTTGAATGGCTGTACTCGGTGTACGACACAGAAATGCCATGGACATAAAAATAACCGTTGCTGTGTAAACACCAAACGATGGCGTCGACGAGAGAATGCAATCACTTGGTGGCATAAGATTAAGAGATAAAATCTTAGGTGAAAATGAACAAAAAAGCCGAATTGACATCTTCTATGTGGTTTCTTAGCGTGGACAAATTACTTCATTTGTGGTAGCAGCGACGTTAATGTGACTGGCCAAGAAATGCATCGACGTCGGTTTTAATGAATTTCGAATTGAAAACAGAAAGGTAGGTAGACGCACTTGCGAAGCAAACAGTCGAATGAATCGAAGTTTAGTGCTAAGTCCGACGATCAACCGACACCATATTTACACATAAAAATATAATTCAATTTTGTATTAATATATTTTCATCGATCAATTCGGTTGGAGCAATGGGGCTCGTGTTTCAACCCCCTAATGATACTTAGATGGGTATCTGTGCACTCGGTAAATATTTGTAACTGAAGGGATTTATTGTAGTCAGTTCGTTTGGATAGAGAAATTGCCTCATATACTCTTCTCTTCTGTTTTTTTCTTCTTTTGCACTTTTTTTTCACTCTATTTATCCGCTCGTTCTGTGAGTGCTTCAATTGCAATTGTGTAGTTTATACAAGAAACCAAATCGACGGATTTATATGTGCCTATGCATAGTTGTCCCTCTTCGTGTATTTTTTTTCTGTTTCGATAACGTGCCATGCCGTGCTGTGCGCTGAACTGTACAGTATATTTCATGCCATTCCACTGTGGAGTGACAAGCTTGCATCGCTCTGAATATTCCCAATTGGATTTTGTTGTAGGTCGAAAGGTCAAATATAATAAATGTTTGAACAAAATTCTAGCCAACCGAGTCCATCTTGACGATTTATTCCATGTGTTTGGGGTGCACAGTGCACACACACACACACACACACACACACTCTCTGTCTAAATCGGATGTATGCATATTGCGATACACGAAATCCTGTTTCGATACAATGTCCAAAGTTTGACCGAGAATCTACCCAAACATACGACACAGCACATTAAATGTATGTTTTGAAACAGAAACAAAAAAAAACAGACAGAGAAAGATGTGTCGTTCTTCTTCTGAAAGATAGAGAAAATATTCTTTCCTTTTCGATTTACACATGGAATAAACGAGATTATATATTCATTTTCTCTGTATGTCTTTGGTTTTATTTCCCTTTGCTCTCAATCTCCTTTTTTCCCTAATAATTCGGTTTTGATTCGAGATCACCACAGTTCTATTTGAATTGTTAAGGCACCAATAACATGCACTTGTCCATCAGTTCGTTTTGGTCGTTATTTAAAGTGGATATACTCTCTTTCTCATATGGGACACGAATAGTCTTTTGTTTCCACCCGTGATGAAGTTATGTTATGGTTGAGTTTATACCACAATGCACGGAATTATCTTATCAATAATGACAATTTTGAAAGAACAGTAAACACTTTGAAGGCAATTTTTGCTCTTCGCACTGAATACAATCCTGACCCACTTTTATATTCTCATTAAATTCCACTGCATTCATGCTCTAATACATTTCCCGACCTCAGTTCGTCGATTCTTCGTTTTCTCTCCATTTCCCTAACCTGAAATAATTTCAATGTTGTTTGAAGAATTGGGCTAATTTGATGCCATAAACAACCATTCGATTTTAACCAACCAATCAGATTTCATCGAGAAAAAAAAACGAAGTTTATAATTACAATAATGCATGGCAATGCATTGGGGTGATATTATGCATCCATTTTGGCTTAAGAACCGCACACTTTCAGTATATTTTTAATTTGCTTGATTTATCTATTTTCCCGTATCTTGTTTCTCATTTTAAGGGCATGAAAATCACAATCGCCATAGCAGGTGAAAGCTATTTGCATACCTTCATAGCTTTAGTGTCGCTTTGCGTTAAAGTTAGACATTTAAATGGTTTCAGATTTACATGGTGAATTTAACTCGCATAAACAGTTCCTTTTGCTGTGTAATAGTGTTTACGATGTCTTACTTTGGAAAGATTTCGAGTAGAAACGGACAAGAAAATCTCACGAATGGAATATGTCACCAAATAAATTAAACGGTGAGTGCCTGTCCAAGTTTTGCACCGATAAAAGCCGACACACTGCTATCCCATGCGCTAGATCATCCGGTAAGTCATACTACATTGGTCATGTTGTTTGGGAGAGCAAAGTGGGAAGAATCATTTTGGAATGCTTTTCCCCGTTCTGTTTCATCAATATTTGTTTTTTTTTATTGCTGTAACTGCTATCCCAACTCTGTCTAATCTATTTTGCACACTTGCTCAGACCCAAAATTTCTATGTAAACGAAAATACGTGTGGCAATGGGAACATTCACATTTGCAACAAAATCTGTTACTATGTCTGTGGATAGTTCGTTTGAAACAGTCCATCTTTGATGTTTCAATACACGAACGAATGATATTTACATGGGAAGGCAGCATGTTGCGTTCTCACATACCACACATCCATGACGCATATAAAAAGCAGTCGATACACAAGCACGAACCGCAAAATTGATGTTCGTTTGAAAAAAAATAAGCAATATTCTAAGCTACTTTGTCCGGCACACTGGTCAACAAAATTTTCTGGATTGTATCATAGCGGATGAAAACATTTTATAATCTGCAAAGGCTTTCGCACTAGATTTATTTCGCTTTTCGATTAGTTCACTCAATCTAATTGGGAAAATTTCACCAAACTTTACCCAATACGAAGAAAGTTCTAAACAAATAAATATTGAGTTATGTGGATAAAATTCTTTTGTTTATATTGCTAAAATCCATAGAATGTATTGAATTCAACCATCAGTCTATAACTAATTCATACCTTCATGCTCTCAATAAAATGACGACTCTGCGTCTGCATCAATATAGTATAAATCATTTGGTTTTCAATTTCAATAATCTATCAATTATCAATAATCGCCTTATATTATCATGCAAATATGGAGAAGAGACAGAGATAGAGCACATCATAAATGACAATTTTAATCCTTATACAATGTACATGCCTTGTGATGTGATTTATGTTATTCAAATGGATTTTCGAACATCGATGGTATGACATGTTTTTTTCATTCAATTAGTGATAATTGGGCATCAATCAAAATGAAAATTTGAATTTAAACCAGTGGTCATGGGCAAGGTTCACCGACATTTGTTGATGGTACGAATTTTACAACGGATCCAATCGTATGAGTTCATTTACACGAACCATGGTCTTAATTTGAATAAATGTTAGCTTTGACAATTCCAACGTTACGTTCACTGACTGGCTCAAGTATTATTATTATTGCAAGACCAATTCTAAATTAATATGCGTCCAAGTAATGTAGGCACATTCGAAACTGGACGGTTGTTGTGAGTGTTGGATGTAGTGCGACTTTTCAAAATTGCGTTAAGATAATTTGAAGTTAGACTATGGCTTCGAGTGTTATTCCCTGTAATTTGCACACTCCGTTAGTTTTCCGTCTGTTTTAGCTGAGGAATGGAGTAATATTGTAACAACACACATGTGTGTAAGGACAATAACGTGCACACATACACACATCGTGCCATTTCTCTGATTGTAAATTTACCGCTCTTGGTCTTGAAATTTTTGCTTATGCATTTAGTTTTCCGTAAGTGATTGCGAATCTCTTCTCCGCCTTTCGTGTGCAAAACACATACACACATAAATGGCTAGAGACAGAGAACAAGAGCAAAACAAAAAAAAATGCTTATGCACCGAACATGAAATCGAGTCTCAATAGTGCTGAGTTGTTGTATGCCATGCAAATTGCAAACTATAACATAAATGTGACATTCATATGGAAGCGTTTGTACTTACATCTGGTTGCGCTTCTCCATGCACGATGCAAACTAGCAAAGCTTCCTGATCTTCGCCAGAGAATACGACCGGAGTTTCGACAGTTATTTCAGGTGGATCTAGATAGAAAGAGAGAAAAAGAACAAACGAATAGAATAATAACGACCATGATTATTTATTTATACAGAAAATTCATAGGAGTATACACACAAACAGGCCATTTTATATCTACATATATGAATGTCCGAGAATGAAAACGCAACTTCTATTCACAACACATATAAGTGAAACAAAAATAAAAAATGTATTGAAATGAAACAACAAAATCGAATTTTTTCAAAGTGTAACAACAAAAAAGATTTTTTTAAAGTGTAACATCGTTATGTTGTTACACTTACTACATACCGATGTTACACTTTAAAAAAATCTTTTTTGTTGTTACACTTTGAAAAAATTCGATTTTGTTGTTTCATTTCAATAAATTTTTCATTTTTGTTTCACTTATATGTGTTGTGAATAGAAGTTGCGTTTTCATTCTCGGACATTCATATATATATATATATTGTGCGGCGAGAGAACAACAACATTGCAAACGCAGACATTGAAAATTGTATAGCCAACGATAGAAAATCTCTAATCGCATTGTAGGGTAACAAGATTGAGCAATAACACCAGCCAAACACTGACACCACCAAAGGAGACGGAATAAAAAGAAAATACTGGGCATTTTATGTGTTTGCATGTACATATATTTCGATTTATGGCATCAAATCGCGTAGAAAGATTCGCATTGTCGCACACACTGTGCGACCCAAGTTGAGAATATTTAAGCATGGTGATGCACACCAGAACACGAAAACAGAAGCAGTTTGTAAACCCACTACAACACACATACAAACTCGCATAAAATCAATGGGATGTTGTATGTGTGTGTGTATGTGTGAGTACAAGTGTACATGTGTTGTAGTCTGCATGTCAGCAGAGAGACACAATTTGCATTTTAAATTTTTCCAGACCTGAAAATTTATTTTAATCGCAGAGATGTTTCTTCCGTTGTAGACTTTTCCTGTACCTCCTTTTTTGCTCCCCCTCATATCATTCATTCATTTCGTATTATGCATGAATTTCAGAATTTCAGAAGGACCTGGCCACTTACAAAAAGGCCATTACACTAGATCCTTGTGTCGTCCGAAAAACAGTAACCGGGGACGATGTGCAAAAAGGAAGTGAAAGGAAACACAAGATGTAAATGTCCACGTAAAAAGATTTGTAGACAGCAGACAGTCATTTTCGCGTCAAATGGAATGAATAACAAAATATCACGTGTTTATGCGAATTGGTTTCCGTTGTTTACTTTGATTCCGGTTGTGATGTGCTCGAGTGTAGGTTTTATCGTCTTCCTACTTGATGTGTCAGTGAAATTGCCGCGATCAATTTTGTGATAGGATAAAAGTGGCCGATTGTCGCCTTTAAATCGGCTTCATTTTGGCTCGGTTCCACTCATTCCTCCCCTTTCCTGATCTTATCGCACGATAAGTGTGTTTTTGTAGCGCGCGCTCGCGTCAATGTCAATTTACATTGAGATAGCACCAAATTAAGACGATCCAAGAGAACTAGTTCATTAGCGTATCGTATTTGTATCTCATCATTCGCATTATGCTCGATGGAATGTTAAGCATTTAATGTCTTCGTATGCATTTTCGCACTCAATTACCAATATGTCCATTTTCAATAGCCGAAATGTGAGAACATTAACTGAGTGTCACTATCTGATTTTTATTCACTTAGCTTTGTGTCTAACAACACAATGATTAGAAATCAGATTAGCAACAAGCGAATCGAGTGGCCCAATTCAGCTTTTCGTCACTTGCTCAACTGGGGGATCGAATGAAAGAGCGAAAAAATAACAACAACAATGCCCTGACACACACACACATACACACTCGGAGTGACACTTTTATTTTCATTGATAACGAGAGAAATGACAGTACATTATAATGCTGTGAGATGTTAGGGCAATGACAAAAAAACAACAACACAGAACCCCATACAAGAAAAATGGCAGTCATTTTATAAAAACGTTTGAAAGTGAGATGAATTCATTGTATTCAACGTGTTTGCAACGATATAGGCATGTGGATTGTGGATTTTCCGTTCGTTTCATTCACTAATGGCACTCTTGATATTGTAATCTATTGCGAGCAATCTTTGCAGCTTTGAGCAAACGTGAGCGAACGAACCTTAAGCATCTCGATTCATTTTCTCTCAGGCTCGTTCCATTTCAATCCATGATCTATTCGGCATGTGTGTAAGTGTGTTTGAAGATAATAGAGCCGTGGCACAAAGGAATATTTAATAGATATTCCTACCAGCCAAATTATACATTAATACATCATAAAAATTGGATTTGTGCTTTTGTAACAAGATATTGAATATCGTGTGCTGGTGCCAAAAAAAAATAACGAAGATGAAAAAGAAGAAGAAGAAGAAAGATTGAGCGTTTAGATTGTGCATATATACTCTTTTGACTCCGTGTCTGCTGTCAGGCGGGATTTTAAGGGAGTTTTCGATGTTCGAGACTTTGAAAATAGAGATATTTTCTAACATTGTCTATGCTTTGCATCCTTTTTTTTCACCGGTTTTTCTTCTTTTTCTCTCTCTTCGTCACGCCATAATATCACTATTTCAGTTTTTTCTCCTCCATTTTCTCTTTTATTGCAATACTCAACATTCTGATTATATTTCAAATGTACAGCAATTTCGCTAAAGAGTTTTCATCGTTTATGAACGCACTCACACATACACGATTCGAAGCGGGAAGAGTAACGCGCGTCAAAGAAACGATAAAGAATGAAGAATAAGACGGAAGAGACGAGAACCGAGTGGAAGAAGAACTCTCGACATAGATACAACGGGTACATTCGGTTGCTCTCTTGTTCTAGCATGTGCACAACGAGGTACTATTATTATTCGTCTTTTGCATTGAAACGCTTTCCACGTACAAACGTTTTCCTTCAGCTCAATTTCGAATTTAATACTTTATCTTTTATAAATTCTTGGTTATTATTTTGCATTTCTTTAATCTTTTATTCCCTCTTTTCGTCTCTTTACAACTGCTCTTTTCTGCATTTTTTCCGTTTCCGTTTCTTTAGTCCATTGCGACTTGTTTTACATTTATGATTCAGATGGTCTCTTTTCTTTTTGAATTAGTTCGGTTCAGCCGAGTTTGATTCATTCGACTGCATTCGTTTGCATCATTTTCTTTGCGTCGGCAATCAATTTTCCCTCCATGCTTTTGCACGGTTGGTTAGTCGCTTTAATCGTTAGAGCTGCCAATTGAAACAGAAAGAAAAGAAGCTCGAATAGATTCCGTTGTTAAATCATAAAATAATCGATCCGATGGGAGATGAGTATCGATGATTCATATATGAATGCAACTGCAAAATGAACCATCCAAGAGCATTTAATTCACCACTTTCATTTTACAAGTTTTCCTTTTTCGCCGCGGTACTTCTAATGGTGCACAAGAAGTTATGGTCTTATGGCTAATTTCAATGCGCGATGAAAAGTTTTCCATTTGTATTTATTGGCTTGCAGTCGAATGAGTCAAATTTGATTAAATTTATGAATACAATTGCACAAGTAAGTGATTTAAATGGGACTTTCTCGAAAAACTTTGCATGAAATGGTAACAAAAGAAGTGAAAAGCGAAATACGCGATATCGAAAAAATGTGAAAACTGTGCCTTAAGTTAGTTAGCAGATATTCAAAAATTACGATGCTTTTGCACTTCCCTTCTCCTTCTCTCCCTCCCACTCAGTCTCGCTCTACCTCTGCAATTACTCACAGCAGCAAGCAATTGTAATAGCGCCTGTTTTCTTGGTTTCGGCCGAATTTTCAGCATTAAATATAAATCTAGAGTTGTGGTTTTAATTAATGAAAAATTATGTAAGGGAAAAAGTTTGGGGCGCCTTCTCGTTGATGCTGTGAAATGAGAGGTTGAAGAAACAAAAATTGCAGAGAAAAAAATCGCCGTACGTGTTAATGCACAACTTGATAATTAACAGCTCTTAGAAAAGTTTGTTCGGTCATCTTCGGTTCAGTTTATGGTTTGATGTTTGCTACAGAAAAAACTACGGCTGCAATGCAGTCACTGCTTCTAGTGCCATCGAGTGGTAATTATTCGTCGGATACAGGCCAAAGGCTCCAATTTCCAAGGTATTTCAACTACAAATCGTAGTTGTTGAAAGAATTTTTCCACTGGGCTTTTTATTCAGCAGCAAGCAACTTACAACCTATTTTAATTTTTCCATAGCTTTTGCCAACGAGAAAAAAATGTGTCTAATGTCTCTAACCCAAATGGTAAATGCGGTGTAGCACACACATGGAATTGTTCCTGGTTTGGCCGGTAGGAAAATGTTCTTGTGTCGAAAAAATATACGTAATTGTGTTTGTTTAAACTGTAGAACTTCATTTGATTTAATTTGAATCTAAATTCATTTTGCATTTGGCCAAACAACAACAAAACCAGATCCTGTAACGCTGGACTGGCTCGAGTGATATATTATGCAATAGGAAGGGAAATTTGACCGAAAATCATGTGAAAACCCATGAATACAAAGAATTCAACGGAAATATACGGTCCTCAATTAAAATATGACAGCGTAAAATGTGCCTGGCTTCAAGACTCGGGCTCTGTCGCTTTTTTTCTCACCTCCGCAATGCATATCAAAGCAAGTTCTCTGCAATTTTACGCGTGCTTGTTCTATTTTTCGGCGAGCACTCTGTCTCTCGCTCACTCACCACGCTGCTGCTGTTGTTGTTGCTGTTTTTCCCTTCCTGTATGTTCATTTCAGAGTTAATTGGAAAAATTTCATATTCTAATCTAATAACATGTCTATAATCACATTGGTACATCAGCTAGTACGTTTATTCATACCGTCTGCTCACGGGCGCATACAATGTACATGCATTTAGAGCAGAGACACATGGAGTAGCAAGAAAGAAAAAAAGAGAGAGAGAGAGAGAGAGAGAGAGAGAGAGAGAGAGAGAGAGAGTGAAACTTCACACGAAATCGCAACGGGATATCGTAAAATACCTAATCGTGTACATCATATGT